ATGTCTTATCTTGGTGTAATAATGAATATCACTTCCAAAATATCACTCACAAACTTATTGTGTTTGTGAGAAAATGTAGACTACCAAAACTACATTAAAAAAAAATAAATTGTAGTTGGACACAATATCTTTGTTTTATTTATTTATTTTTATGTGGTGATGAGGATTGAACCCAGGGCCTTGCACCCGCTAGGTGAGTGCTCTACTGCTGAGCCACAACCATAGCCCCTAGACCACCAAAACTTCTTAAAACTGATAGATAAATTCATATTCATGTTAAAACAGTGGTAGAAATGAAAGGAAGAGGCATATTATGATAAAGTTACATTGTAATTCTAATGCCACCTAATACATATAAATATGAACATTATATTCTCTTCCAGTTGAAACAGGTGCAAAGTGTCTCCCTAAATGCAATAGATTCTTTAAGTTAAAATTAACAGGAAAGCTGAAATAAAAAGTGCATATTTCCCTCTTAACTAAGATCCACCAAGCAGAAGTTTTTATCCACAAGGTTTTAAAGACCTTAACATTTGTAAAAATCTTAAAATTATACGATGTCAGGACTGGTTGCTATTCCAGCCTTGCTCTTCTGCCATATGCACACATACATTCTTCTAGCAAGGATTCATGCCTACCAACGTAGCTTACTGCTACTTCCATACACTTCTTCATTGACACATTCTCATTAAAGTAGGATGTAAATATTTGTCAGGATGTGGGGAAAATAGATCTCCATTGTATTAAACAAATTTTAATTTGAATCAGTAGAGACTTAAGAGGTTTAAATGGCCAATAATATTCAACCATTTTTGACCTACAGAAGTGGGTATTTCAAATTTTTCAGTCTAATATTTTTATCTATTCTTGCCAACTGCTCTACTGAAACTCCTGTCCAGACTTTATAGTGCCTTGTGTGTCAAGTGTGGTCTTAGCTAGAATGAGCCCAGGGAACTTGTTAGAAATGCACAATCTCTGGTCCCGTCTCCTAGAAACTTGAGTCAGAATCTTCATTTTAATGAGATCCCCAGGTGACTGGCATGTATGTTAAAATTTAAGAAGCACCAGGCAGAAAATCCCTTAAATTCAGTTTAAACATGTTCTTTAAGTCTTTGCGCACACTCTAGATTATTAAGTCCATTCAGTTTGAAAGTCCAATCTCGGTTATAAGCCAAACATTCTCTGGCTGAATTTATGACTCAAGGAACTCTGAAGATGAAAAGAATTTGTTGTTGTTGTTGTTTGTTTGTTTCTTTTGGTACCTGGGATGGAATGCCAGGCACTTAACTACTGAGCCACATCCCCAGCCCTTTGTTTCATATATATATATATATATATATATATATATATATATATATATATGCTGTAGATGAACAGAATATCTTATTTACTTATTTTTAATTTTTTTATGTGATGCTGAGGATTGAACCCAATGCTTCATATGTGCCAGGCAAGAGTTCTACCACTGAGCTACAACCCCAGCCCCCTTTGTTATATTTTATGTAGAGACAGGTCTCCCTAAGTTGCTTAGGGCCTTGCCAAGTTGCTGGAGCTGGTTTTGAACCCATGATCCTCCTGCTTCAGTCTCCTGAGCAGCTGGGATCACAGGCATTTGCCACTACACCTGGCTAAGAACTGTTTTTAAAATCAGTTCTCTTTTCTTTCCCCCTCATGCTGAGAACTGGGAAGGAGAAAAAGGATAAATATACAATCCATATTGCAAATGCTCACTCTTCCATGAATTGTACATTGAGTTCTCCTAGAAACTGAGGCAGCCTCCGACTGTACTCCCTCACTCATCCTGGGAGATGGATCAAAATTGGCCCTGTCTCTTCTAATCTTTTTGCTTTCTCCCCCAAAGGTATAAATAGTTTCTTGCTGCTGGAATTTCCTTTCCCCATAAATGTCAAGATGGTTCAAACCTATACAGCACTTACTACATGGTATCAGTTGATCCTTGAGAAATTTACATATCCTTCTCTTGCCCATTGGTGGAAGTGCAGATTGTTTTACTTTAGCCCACTCCCTGGTCAGCCATTTCTCTCTAAGTCTTTCTTCCCATGTTCAGGTAAATATAGGGCAATATCCACCAATCTGCTAGTGGATGAGATACCAGTTTCCTGTCTACAATCGCCTCCAGTTTCTCTAGCAGATTCTTTTGGAAACTTTTTCACTTAAGTTGGTGTGGGATGGGGTATAAAAAGGAAAAGCCACAATACTTACCAGAATCCTAAGAAGACACAGTTTTAGTGATTTGAAGTTCCTCCTCTTCCCAAACATTGTGCTTATATGGTTGAGAGTGTGGAGTTGGAAGTTTTGGCTATGATAGGTTTAGTTTTACTTTGGACTTTACTCAGCATCTTATACAGGTGTAAGTTATTTTATAGTATTACATATTCTTGTGGGTGCTCAAATACTCAGTTGTCAGTGCAGTATTATTGTTACATCAAATTTCGCAGATTTCAATTTACCTCTCCTTTTTATTTAAAAAAATTTTTTTACCTCTCCTTTCATATGCATTACTAAGGCTACCTCTTTTTTTAAATAAAAAAAAAAATTGTAGTTGTAGATGGACAGCATGCCTTTGTTATTTGTTTATGTGGTGCTAAGGATGGAACCCAGTGCCTCATATCATATGTGCTAGCAAGCGCTCTGCCATTGAGCCATGGTCCCAGCACAAGGCTACCTCTTGACAACAGTCTGCGCACAATCATAATTTGGAATGCAAAGATGATTCTAAAAAGTATGTTTACGTATCATTTCATTCATTGAATTATTCATTACCTCGGGCATTGGAATGGATGCTGCATATATAGTAGTTAACAAAACAAATAGTTCTTTTCCTACTTATCATGTGGTAATAGGAATGATGGTTAATAAATAAGAAAACAAGTATTAAATACATGCAATTAAAAAAAGTATTATGGGGTAAATAGTGGACACAATAAAAGAGATTTTCTGTGGGTACTGAATAGGGAGGTAGGAGATCTACTTTAACAGTAGTTGTATCTTTGAGATATAAATGGTGAGGAGCCAGACATGAGATAAGGTGGGGTGTTAGGTCAGGCAATGGAATGACAGGTACTAAAGCCTGGGAGCAGAGAGATTAGTAAGGAATTAAAAAGAAGTTTCTGGGTGGGTGTTACAGAAAAGGGAGAAAATTATAGGATATGAGATTGGAGAACTAGACAGGGGCCAGATCCAAATGGTATAATGGTCACGATTACAGTCTGGATGAAATGGGAAATGAATGATAAAAGGATATTAAAAAGAAACATAATGTCATTCCACTTATATATTCAAAGTAACATTATTTTTTAAAAAATATTTATTTTGGGGGGCTGGGGATGTGGCTTAAGTGGTAGCACGCTCGCCTATCATGTGTGAGGCACTGGGTAAAGATATTGTGTCCAATTAAAACTAAAAAAAGTTTTAGTTGGACACAATATCTTTATTTATTTTTATGAGGTGCTGAGGATGGAACCCAGTGCCTTGAACATGCTAGGCAAGCGCTCTACTGCTGAGCCACAATCTCAGCTCCAAAAGCAATATTCTTGTTGCTTGGTAGAGAACAAATTGAAGGGGGTATCTATGATATCTGAAATGCCTAAGAAGAGACATCATGGACATAGGTGTATGGAACCCAAAGGAGAGGTGTAGGTTGGAGTTAAAAAGTTTTGAGTCATTTTAACCTTTCCTAGGGTTCCAACAATAAATTGTAAAGATCTACAACCACCATCCTCAACACCCAAGAGATAATTCTCTGAAATGTTTATTCTCACAACTTATAGATAAGAACCCTGACACTCAGAGGAATTACTTGCTCAGTGTCCCTCAGCTTAGGAAGTTTTAGTCAGGACTTAAGCCTAAACTTTGACTATGAAGTCCACAATATCTTCTACTTCCCTATATTTTAATGGGACTAGAAAGAATGAGTAATTGACTAAACCATACATTAAAAAGAAATTACTTTTGTTTTCTATTATGCATATCTTAAGCTTCTTATTTTCCAATTCACTCTAAATGGTGCTGGTAACACTAGGAATGTCATTGACAGGACGGATGAGAGAGGTACTATAAAAGAATAGACACAATTTGTGACTGATGGAACATAGGAGATAGAGGAAGAATCTGAGCAAAGGAGATAAGGGAATTATAGAAAAAATCATTGATTAAAAAAAATGGCGAACACTTTAATGGATTTTGTATGTGCCAGGTATCATTATACACGCCCCCCCCCCAATCTTCTTCCAATTATCTCATGAGATGGACTTATTATCCTCATTTTACAGATGAAGAAATTAAAGAATAACAGGGAAGTAAGTTGAAAAGAGTTGGAAATGATTAGTTTAAGTGATAGCAAGGCATACATGGAGTGAACAGAATATCTGAATTATGCAAAAGATTGTGTTTAGGCTAGAGGACATTAATTTAGGATCTATGAAACCATGAGACAGTATTTTTGTTTAATGGAAACAGGAGTGGGGAAGTTGGAAAAACCATTAGGAATAACTTTTTTCTGGGAAAGAATATGGGGAGAAAGGAGTTTTGAACTGAACTATGGGAAATATATGAGCAGTGGCAGAAGACTGAGCAGAAAAAATGAGATTATCAACAGGTCTTGTAAATAATTAAACACAGAATATGAAAAAGGGAGGAGTCAGATGAACATAGTTTGATTCTGGTGACTAAGAGGACAATGAAGCCACTAAAAAGGGCAAAGGTATTTCTGAAATATGTATACTAGAGGATGTGAAATATGAAGAGTGATCACTGTCTTCAGGATAAAATCCAAACATCAGACCCTAGAAACATTTAAACTCTCTTGTCTGGCTGCAACCTATTTCATCAGTATTATTCTCTTGCTACCTAACAGTATTAGGACTCTTAATTGCGGGTGACAGAAAACTTGTTCTAGCAATAAAACACATCCAAGAATTTATTATTTTAATTGAAATTTCCAGAGCAACCTAGTTTACAATGGTTTCCGTGACCATCTTTGAATCTGCACCACCCCCGCCCCCGCCCCAGGGTACTTTCTCATTAATCGTGCATGAAAAGCTGGCTCCAGTCCTCCATTCTTCCAGATTCAGATCCACTGGAAAAGAGGTAACATCCAAAATCAACTCAAACATACCTTCCCCCTGATGTCCTTTCCAGACCATATGGACTGGGTAGAGGGAGGATAGTTCTCCAAATGAAATTATCAGAATGGGAGTGAACGGGGAACAAACAGAAACGTCTATTAAAATTCCTTCTACTAAATGGAGTAATTAATAAATCATGCTTTTCCACTTCCCAAAGAAAAATGCTGAGGTGAAAGATCAGGAATCTGGATTAAGTTCTTCGACTCTGATGTTTTTTTTTTTTTTCCCCACGTGGACCAATTGTATTTCAAGCATCAGGGGAAGTAATTTCACCTCTCTCCCCAGGTAAGCTGTAAATATTCACACGCTGTTCTAACCAAAAAAAAAAAAAAAAAAAAAAAAAAAAAAAAAAACCAGAGCAAATTACGATCCCCGACCACTCTCTTTGCGTGTCCACCTCCCCATCCCTGCACCCAAGTCTTCCATTACACTGTCACTTGGTTTTCACTAAAAGGCCAGCGGGGAAACTGCAAATGAGCAAATACATCCAGACCTCTTGCCACTGCTGCGGCTGAAGGTGCCCACGGTCCTGTCTCCCCAAACCAACCACCAGCCAGTAAGAAGCACTCGAAGACGCGCGCCTCCAGGGTCACTGGTGGTCCAGGAATCTTCGCAACCTCCAGGAGAGGAAATCAGAGTGCTGAGGCGTGTCCACCCAACACTGGAAAAGCCTAGCCTGGCGTCAGCAAAGCTCTGCTTTTCGAGGAAGAGAGCATCCCCTTTCTGGCCTCTGGATCTCTTACCCTTCAGGAGGCTATTTCTTCACCTCCTTGCCCAGCATCCATGGTGAAAGTCAAAGAAGCCCCGACCTACCGCTAAAGCTCCCCGGTCCCGCCTCCCAGGCTTTCCATAACCGGTGCCCTCCCGGGTGGCTCAGGGAACGGGGCGCCGGGAGATCCCGGTTTCCTTCACAGAGCGCGTACAAGCACGGCCCGAGGGAGCGGGAGTCTCGGGCGCCCGGGATTCCCTGGCGCAGCTCCGCGCTGTCTAACGGGGCAAGTCGCATGCGCACCGAGACGCGCCGGGGAAAGCGAGCGCGAGGGGAGGGGCGAACGCAGAGCCTCGGCTGACCGCGGAACCCGGGGGTCACTGACAACGCATGCGCCGGGAGGGAGCGCAATCACGGACTTCTCTTGCGGCTACCGCTTTAAAAAAGGAAACCCCGGGCAGCGAGAGCGCGAAGTAAATCTGGCCGCCGCCGCGTGCGCGCACCCGGTGAGTGGCGCCCCACCGGGTGGGCCTGGGCCTGACGTCCACCGGTTGGCTTGTCCCGGTGGCGCATGCGTGCTGCCGGTGCCGGTGGAGGAGGGGAAGGGAGGGAGGGGGAGGAGGAGCGGGCAGCAGTAGCGGTGAATTTTTGGGGGTGGGTGGGGGCGCCACTCGCAGCCCCAGGTGCTGCTGGCGCTGGGAGCCACGGTGTCTCCTGGACGCAGCCGGTTGGCGGTTCCGAGTAGCCGCAGCCTGAGTCTTGGGTGGGGGAGGGAAGCAGCCGGAGCCGCCGCAAGCCACACGGTGAGGGCGCGGGCAAGGGGAGGGAGCGGGGGGCGGTGTGTGGGGCCGGGGGGCGGCGGCCAAGGAGGGGAAGGCGGGAGCTGAAGCCCAAGTTTTGCGTCTTGCTTAGCGTGCCTCTTCCCGGGAGTTGGGGCGGAGGCCCTCGGGGGCCTCGGGGCTTCGGGGGCAGCTGGGGTTACCTGCGGGGCAGGGGCGGGATTGGGGTGCGCGGCCGGCCCCGGTGACCGGAGGGTGACCGGGTTCCAGCCGGTTCCAGCGGCCGTGCGTCCGGGAAAGCGAGCCTGGTGCCGAGAGGGCTTTCGCCCGGGACCCGCTAGGCCTTGTGACCCACTTTTATTCCTGTCACCACTCGGGCACGTTTGGAGCGGCGCCCAATGGGGCGCTGGGGCGGCCAGCTCCTCCGGGGAACCCCCGCCCTCCTGGCGCCCCGGCCGCGCGTCGCCGTCCGTAGTCCGAGCGGCTGCTGCCGCCGCCGGTGGGCTGGTTCCGTTAGTGGTCGTGGTTCCGGGGCACGGTCCCTGGGGAGCGCGCGGCGCGGGGCGTCGGACTTGAGCTGCGCGCGGCTGGAGGGCGCGGCGCCGGGCTTCCCTTCTGCCCTGACGGGCGCCTCGAGCTCCGATTCGCCGCGGCGGCTGGCGTTTCTGGATCCCTTTCCGCCTGCGAAGCTGGCTTCCCTGGAGATGGTCCCGGCGCTCCGGCCGCTGGTGTGTAATCTCTAACACTTAGAGCCGCAGTGTATTTTCGGGAGGGTGTTTTTCTTTGGCGTGGAAGTCGTTCTGTTGAGAATAGACGGTAGAATCCTGAAAGATGAAAGCCGTGGCCTCTGACCCGGCAGATGACAGATAAGTCGGGCTGTGGTTTTTCGCTGTTAGAATGTCAGGCTCAGTAGGCTTTCTACCCTTCTTAAAAAAATGTTTTCTTTCTCTTACAGTGAAAGAAAAGCACAAGAAGAAACTTTTACAGTCATTTTGAGTTGACTAGTACGCTGATCCCCCAAATCAAAGTAAAGGTAATTTCACTTTAAGATTGCTTTAAGTGATCAGCGGAGAGACTTGTGGAATTATTTCTCCCCTCCTACCTGTTTGGAAATTAACATTCTTTTAAAAAAGATGCGATTTATAGAATGAATGGCTTTTTCTGAAACATCCCTCAAAACGACACCTCAAATCTGGTTTGTTTTAAAATCTCCTTCTAGGAAGGAAACTAATTCTTGTGTTAAGTATTTGACCGAACAGAATGTCATTAAAGGTTAGCCTGAAGAAGGCAGACTGAAAATGTGGTAGAACTAGTCACAATCAACTATGGAAAAAGAATGAGGAAACTTTCTGTGCACTGATGTGGAAAGATCTCAAAATTTTGTCATAGAGCAAAAAAGCCAACAACAACAACAACAACAACAAAAACCAAGTTGTAGAACAATGTGCTCTTTTATGTGTTGGGTGAGTTGTAATAACAGCCTAAACTTGCATTTGTTCTCCTATTAATAGAGTAACTAGGAGGATACCAGAAAACTAATAATAATAGGAAGGGTGGGATATAGATGTACCATGTGTATGTCTAGAGTTTTAAAAATTTGGGACTATATTATGGACTAATAAACCAGGTTAAACAAAACTCCACCTTGAAATAATTTAGGTGGTTTTTGTTGCCTAATTGATGGTGATTTTGGCCATTTTCCATATGGTTTTTCTTAGTGTTAAAATAAAAAAAACTGAGACAAAAAACGTTTTAGAGATGTTGATTTGCCTTGTTAAGGTAATTAATAACCATGTTTACCTTTGGCACAACAGTTGGGTTATGCTGCTTTCTTCAGGGTAGAGTTTGTGTTACCCCTTTTTTTTAGGAGTTAGAGTTGTATAAAGTTTTGCTTTTATTGACTTCAAAATTTGAACACTCCATTGTAATGATAATAAAATGTTAATAAATTTAATTGTCTAAATTAGGGTGCTTTTCAGGTTGGGAAACTTTTCTTTGCCTTAAGGAAATCAGTTATGAATTGCAGTGAAATATAAATTTATGTGTGAGAGTGTGTGTGTGCTCACATATACACACATGCGTATTTGTTTCTTATGAGAAATAAAACAGAAGCAATGTTATGTTGGCTAGGAATTATTCTAAGCATTGTGTTAATGATTTTTTAGTTTTGCCAGTCTCACCTTTTTAATGAAGTTAAGACTGAAAAACAAGGTTGTCAGAGTGGGTATAATTTTAGGGAGGGCCTCCTCAAACTCTCTCTGTGACTTAATATTATATAGTCAAAGTAGTTAATAGAGGTGGTTTAACAGTTGCTGTGTGCATCTTTAGTAATAATGATCTTTTTTATTTTGTAGGCTAGGATAGTAGCCACAGTAGTACAGAATGACGCTTTTCATTTGAACTCCATGTATGTAAATCTTTTCAATCTTTTTAACAAATGAAATAACATTTCAAAATTTGATTTTTAAAATTACAGAAGTGACACTTATGAAAAATTAAAACAATATAGTGTATTTATAATAAGCAAAAGCCCTCTTTATACGTTTCCATTTCTGTCTCACATCTTTCTTTGGAAACAATCACTGTTATCTTTTTGGTATATATCCTAGGTTCTTTTTATTTACAGATATATCCTTTTTTAATCTTGCAAACTGAATTGGTGTGTTCTTGGTTTGTTCTGCCAGTTTGTCTCTATTCTGGACTTTTTTTTTTTTTTTTCTTTCCTACCTACAGGACAGGGAAATGACCTGGAGTATGTCAGAAAGTTTAATATGTGATAAACCCCTTTGGATACTCATCTTTTTACTGGTGAGGGGACAGTCGATTTGGAAGTATTTGTAGTTTGCAGGGAAATCAAACTGATGTGAGGTTTATCTGTATAGATTGAACTCATGTAGACTGAAGTCATCACGAAGACTTAGATTCCATGATTTTTTTTTTTTTTTTTTTTTTTATAGGACTCTTTGGAGTTCAACTTTTAGGGACTTCTTTAGTTTGGTTTATGCTTAACTGACAACAGATAAGTAGTACCCAACCCTTCCACTCTCACAGAACCTACCTCTTTCTTGTTTTTTTTTTTTTTAAACCAAGTTACAAAGAAGTTCTAAGTTATTTGAAACTTTTCAGGTGATAGAGATTGCAGAAAATTCAAAATATTAAAACTATTACTTACAACTATATAGGGTACATAGAAAGGTGCAGTACAATTGACTCTGCAGTACAGTTGAGTTCAGTGAATTATTCTAATAAGATTAAAAAGCATGCACATTCATAGTAAAACAAGATTTGAAAAGAATTTTAGAAGAAAAAGGTACACTTGTACGTTGCTGGTGGGATTGCAAATTGGTGCAGCCAATTTGGAGGGCAGTATGGAGATTCCTTGGAAAGCTGGGAATGGAACCACCTTTTGACCCAGCTATATCCAAAAGACCTAAAAAGAGCATCCTACAGGGACACAGCTACATCAATGTTCATAGCAGCACAATTCACAATAGCTAGATTGTGGATCCAACCCAAATGCCCTTCAATAGATGAATGGATTAAAAAATGTGGCATTTATACACAATGGAATATTACTCAGCACTAAAAAAACAAAATCATGGCATTTGCAGGGAAATGGATGGCACTAGAGCAGATTATGCTAAGTGAAGTTAGCTAATCCCTAAAAAACAAATGCCGAATGTCTTCTCTGATATAAGGGAGGTGACTCAAAACAGAGTAGGGAGGAAGGAAGAGCATGAGAAGAAAATTACCACTAAACAAGCAAGAGAGGTGGGAGGGGAATGGGAGGGAGAAGGGGAATTGCACCAAAGATGGAAGGAGACCCTCATTGTTACACAAAATACATATATGATGGTGTGAGGGGGAAGGGAAAAAAATGAGTTAAGTGTCACAGTAGAATGGGTAGAGAGAGGGGAGGGGAGGGGRGGGGAGGGGAGGGGGGAATAGGGAGGGCAGCAGAATACAACTGACACCAGGATTGCTGTATGTATACACATGGATGTATAACCAGTGTGATCCTGCAATCTGTACACGTGGAAAAATGAGAATTCATACCCTATTTGAATCAAGTGTATGATATGTGAAGATCATTGTATTCTCTTGAGCAGCTAATAAAAAAAAAAAGAAAAAAATACAAAGTTTTTAAGGCTGAGATTATTGCCAGCCTTTTGATTTGTTTGTTGTTTAGTGGGTGTGGATTTTGAGGGAGAATATTCTACCTCAACCTTTTAAATAGGAAAGAAAGAATAGAACAAACTTAAAAAGTTCATATTTTAGCTCTTGATGTTAAGGAGTTAAGTTGCAACATTATAGGAGGTATCTGTGAGACTGGTGGCTATTTTAATAGTATTTTTTTTTAAAGCATTCCCACTGGAAAGAGACACTTGTTTTATTTGGTCATTAATTATATTAGTCTGTAATCTTTAGATTTCAGAATTGTTAGAAATATTAAATTGGGAAATCTAATGCTATCAGTTAATTGTTGTCTATCATCAAATGTGTCAGGCAATGTTAGTATTTTTTAAAAAGTTGTTTTATCCTATATCATTTTCTCCTCACATTTTTACTTCTGGTACTATGTCAAATAAGATGCTTATTTTCTGTTAATATTTTAATTAAAACATCATCATGGGGAGAAAATTAGTTCCACATTATAGCAAAACTTTTTTTGTATGTGTCTGTTTCCTTCTAGTTTTTGTGGTTACATAAAGTGAAAATATTTTTTGAAGTATTGTTTCTTGTTGACATTATACCATCGGACATTATATTTTCTCCTTTTCTGAGTCTAAAATTCCGGATGGAGTTAGATAAATTATTTGTAGAATGCTTTCAAGTGTCAGAGAAATTTATCCTTTCTGATTGACTGTTTAACTATATGATATATATGTATATATTTTTAAAAAATATTTTTTAGTTGTTGATGTACATTTATTTTTTATTTTTTTATTTATATGTGGTGCTGAGGATTGAACTCAGATACATGCCAGGCAAGTACTCTGCCACTGAGTCACAAACCCAGCCCCAGACATTTATATTTATAGGTTCTTTTACCACCATTTGTTAATAGCCCTGCTCTGTGTATTTTCCATGAATTAAGTGAAGAGATTCCTATTTTTCTCAGTGTTTTTTTTATTATGCAAATGTTGAATTACCTAAACTCATTCTGATAAATATAGTTTAACCGAGTTTTTATTTTATTTGTATATTTCATAGAGAAGTAATTTTGCTTATTATTATTATTATTTGTATGGTTCTAGAGTTTGAATCCAGGGCTTTCCTGCATGTTAGGCAAGCACTCTACAAACTGAATTACATCACCAGTTCTGCTTATTATTTTAAGACTTAGAAGTCTCCAGAGAAAAATCACTTATAAAAAGCAAATTTTTATGAAATGTCTTTGATTTTTAAAGTCTGCACTGTTGGATACAATTTACTATTTGCTTTTCAAAAACTAAGGTCAAATATTAAGACAAAAATTCCTCAAGTAATTTACATTTAAATTCTCACTATAAATAGTGGAAAATGAAAATACAGGTTCATGTTCAAAGGTTTTTGTATTAAAAAGAAAACACACATAAATGGGAATTGTACCAATGAAGGTTAAAATATTTACCTAGCTAAGAATTTATTATTTATGTTAAAATATGATTTCATGCAAATAGTTGATTTTCTTAATGTCCTCCCTTAATTATAAGAATAGTATATTTCAGTAGAAAACTTGGGAAACACTAAAAAAACACAGTTTGAATTTTAAAAGTATCATTGGAAATCTTATCATCAAGAGAAGCCATTGTTAGTCTTTTGGACTATCTTCTTCATTGCATTTTGTTGAGCCATTATGTAAGTATATATACAGTTAAAGATGCAGGATGGTACAGGCCTGTAGTGCATCCACTATAGTGCAAATTTTTCTATTAACTGTTAATCAATGTATATATATATTTTTTTTTTTAAAAATATTTATTTTTTAGGTGTAGTAGGACACAACACAATGCTTTATTTTTATGTGGTGCTGAGGATCGAACCCAGGTC